CATCACCACAGGCAACTTCCCAGGTCATTTAACCATGTCTCCGACCTCTTAAATTACAATTGTCTGATTAGTCAAGATATATGATTCTTTAGAGATGGGGCAATTCAACAGACAATAGTTTCCTCGGCCATTGTCACGTTTCAGACTGATTATCCTTGGCTAACTTCAACCCCTTTCTTGTATTTCACATTTAGAAATAACTGAGTATGAGTAACACATGACCCAGACACTTAGTCAATTGTTTTATTTTATTTGAACCGTTGATTTACATCGCTGTACTCATAAAACCAATATTATTTATTTAATGGTTCTATTATAGACAGGCAAGCAGAGTTTCAAAAAGGCATATTATTTATGTACTTAGTAATGAATACGTGACTTGGATTATGGAAGGCCATATGAAACATGGCAAAGTTATACATAAAGGACTAATAAAAACCAGAGTCAATCTTTAGCAGTTAAGTTGCATTAGTTCTATTCAATATGACTAGGTAACATCAGGGATTGGACACATTCATATAATATCAACAAACAGCATAGTCACTAACATATCAGTCCGAGTAATTTATTTGATGGACATCAGTTTGATGATATAATAATACACTAGAAACATCAAATCAAAAATAGACAAACTTAACAAAGTGATCAATAATTCGTCTGGTAAACAATATGCTTTATATAAACAATGATAGATGAGTTGAATTTAGGGGGGGGGGCAGAGGAAGGTTTTATATCCTAGGCTTAACTTAGATAGCTCAATTTGCTTTGCGCTTTCCCATTTAAGAAACATCTTTGCTATACAGCATATCCTCTACAATTAATTTTGTATATGGTTGATTATGTCAAAACCTTCACAATTAATTTATACCACATGCAATGGTATCCGGACAGCAACAATTTGTCTATATTTTTGTATTGTTATTGTTTATATGATCATGTAGGCTTGATCACGTGTGATAGCCTACGCATATAATCCTCATTCTATTTTAAATGTTAGCCGGCTTAAATATCGCTCAATGAATCATTCGCTTTCCCTAAGTGTTTGAATATTGTTCATCGCTTCAATTTAACTTTGAATCCGCCTTTTGTATTCACTTGCTTGTGCGCGTTAGTCTTTCTGATCAAATTTGCTTTGCTGATGAAATCTGCTCTATTCAAACACAAACTATAATCATTGCTTTGTGTTGCCATCTTCATTTATACAGTGTTGGGTTTAATCTAATAATGCTTAGCTAGTTGATTGACATACAAAGCCTTAGGGATTTATCTCGTAGTTAAGCCAATTAAAGTTATATAAATAGATACAAACAAACAATATGAAGAAATTCACATTAAGTCACATGGGATCATATTTATTCGGAAATGGAATTAAAAAAAAACACAAACAAACTCGATACGTCATATAATGACGTATGTATATTCGCATTATAATGATCTGTATAAGTGTAAATATTTTTGTCTGTATGGTACAAGAGGGCTAGAGATAAATATGTGCCACACAAAAATTTGTCATTTCATTTAATGGTGTGAGGGCTATGATACTGACCGGGTGCCCAGACCGTAGCAGGTGGTTTTCTTAAGAAGCCACATCCGGAGCCTTCGACCTAAAAGTCTGATTCATAAGGCAGTGGAGCATCGTAAGGAGATGCAATCCCATGATAGCCGGTGACCAACGATTGATTCATACGCCAGTTGTTCCCTCAGGATTCTGGAGACCATGTGCACCATTCGTTTGGAATGAGGGTTTTCCAACTCCCCTAGGTGAACCCTCCGTGTTCACCAACCCAGTTAAAGTGCCGCACATTCGCTTTTCGTCCTCTCAATTTCGTAAAGAACACCCCCGTAGACGAGAAGACAATGAGTAGGACTTCCCTGGCAGAGGCTATATACGCGTGACCATGTGAGAGCATTTCGAGAGGGAGAACGGACTCTCCCCAATCTCGGCCGTATCAGGGCATTTGGGGGCCAATATACAATGGATAATTATTGTATAGAGATGTTAAAAATAAAGGATATTGTAGTACCTATTGTTATTGTACATTTTTACCTACCATGTGTATAGATGAACTAAATGAAAGTTGTTATATAATAGTGTATATAATCGTATAGATTGTCTTTTGAAGAAGTGTAGAAGAATAGAATTTCAATCTGATTTATATATTATATGACATTTAAAATAGCTTGAAAAATATTGATAAGCTTTCTTAGTTATGTCGGACAAGATACTTTAAGTATAAAAGAAAACTGATTTACAAGATGAACATGAGATAGTAAACGACAATATGAAAAGATTAGTCGACTTCTTCAGAATACACAAGAATTATCCCTGGGATTAATTTTTCAGGACTAGAGTTTAAAGGTGAAGGATAATTGGAAATCGAAGGATAGCTTATGTATTTTGGGACTATGGAATTAAGTGATGCCTGAATTAGTAATATAGTACTAAGTAAAGATAGCAAATCAATTGATGAAGTAGTAAATCTCAGTACAGATTTGTGTACTTGGCTTCAAGATAAACTTTAAGTGTGATGCTTAGTGATAACACCCGTTTGGCTAAACTAAAATAGGTGGGAAAGGGATTGGAGCTGTGACTTAGTAGCTTAAAGTCTAAAGTCTTGATCATTGAGCTATTATACCATTTTTACAAGCAAATCCATGAGAAAGCTTGTAATAAAGCTTTAACATTAAATTTCAACAATGAGTTTTACTAACAGAAAAGAACAGTTCATGCAAATCCCAAGAGGTTAAACGGTTTACCATCATTAGTTACAAATTTACTCACTAATGATAGTCACAGTTCTATTTATACTGAGAGAAGAATATTTGCTGACTATAGGATATCGCTTATGCCACATGCATAAATTCATCTTCGTGTTAACAAAGAATATGATATCAGCCACGTTAACCAATGATACTACTCAACACTTTATTCAGGTTGTAGAATAATCTACTGCACAGTAAACCCGTCCTTTGGTTGCTAGACGAATGGCGTAGGCGAGATATCCGTCTAGCAACCAAAGGACGGGTTTACTGCACAGCAGTTCGTTTCGTCCTACTTTATGGCAGTGAAACATGGCCGGTAAGAGTAGAGGATATTCGTAGGCTACTAGTATTTGATCATAGGTGTCTTCGAAGTATTCCTCGTATATTCTGGGACCACCGGGTAAGTAATGTAGTTGTTAGGAAACGGGTACTAATTAAGGATGGCTAATCGATTGATGAAGTAGTGAAACTTGATCAGTTGAGATGGCTTGGACACGTGTTGCGTATGCCCAACCACCGACTGCCCCGACGTGCAATGTTTCATGGTGTAGGAGTAAGTTGGAAGAAATCTAGGGGCGGTCAGACCAAAACGTGGCACAAATCCATGAAGTCACTGGCAATTGGACTGAGCAATGCTGGTAAGTGTAGACTATTCGGTTGGGATTGGCGAGATGATAGAAATCGATGGTTAGAGACCTTGAATGACATGATTCAAAATCGTTTGCAATGGCGTAGGTGCATCCAGTCTTTGTGTTCTACCAAATTCTAATCTTCTGAATCCTTCATGTCTCTATCCTTTTTCTCTTTCCAAATTAATTTCACTGTATTATACTCCTTCAATAACATTTTCAAACCCTAATCTTTCACATCAACGCTTATACTCTTATTAGTTCTACCACTATGGGATTTGAATCGACAACTTCATCTCTGTGCTAATGTGGTATGGCAAGTCGAACTGATGTACGCACGTGCGAAGTTCCACGTTGTGACTAACTGACTGATAATCTATTGTCTTACATAATATTTCAACTTGTTTATCCTCCATTTCAACTGCTGTTTACAGTATTTTACCACAACTGTTTATAATTAGTTAATCTGATGAACTCAATTAATTCCTGTGCAGATAGATACATATAATGAACCAGATGACTGTAGAGTTAAAGAGTAATTATAACGTTCAACACATGCATATACACACCTATAGGTACTGCAGTTATATGAGTTTGGCCTTGACAATGGATTGATTAGATGAAGTGATATAGTTTTAAAAAGAAACCTATGAGCAGAGAATGAAAGGTACATGCTAAGTGAACCGGTTATTTATTACTATTATTATTATTTGCTCCAAGGTCAATCGTTGTAAACAAGAAGTTATGCAATAGACAATTACATTGTTGATACCTTGTTTAGATAGCAACTAATTATGCATATATATTCAAATCATCACAGTCATATAGATACATAACAAATAATAACGTAAATGAAATTTCAGACTTTGCAAACAGCTAATTACTTAGCAGTGCGCATTCACGATCCCACACGTGGGACTGAGACCCAGGACTTTCGGTCTCATGCGCGAAAGCTTAACCTCTAGACCACTGAGCCGCTATTCAACGATTCAAAAAATCCCAGAGTGGTCGTATAAAACACTAACCATAGACAAGATGACTTGAGAAGATAATGAATTTACGGGACAAAAAGGATAAGATAGTTTGAAAACTCAAGATGTAATAAAAGGTAAATAGGAAATGAATCTACGCCATTCTGAAAGCCATGTTACTCAACAACAACAATTGATTACGGTAATCGTATAGAATCCAACCTGGTCATTTTGTATGTACAACATAGACCAATTCAAAAGTAGATGACTTCAAAGGGGCAGCAAAAATAAACTACCAGTCTTCTTAAAACGAAAGTATTTGGAGCTGGGATTTATTCTGTACTTTAGTGTTTGAGAATTAGGCATAGTTTTCACAGCCGTTAATCATCAAAGGGATCTATCCTTAATCATCGCGCTGATTGTGCCAACAGATTCAATTGAAAATGTGTACAGTGAAACAAGGACAAATCCAACATTGTGAACTTGATGTCGCTGAACATTTTAATGGGTTACACAGATGAACCTTTCAATTTCAACAACAATGACATTCGATATTCTTGAGATTAACGGACAAAACCCAACTAGATGTATAGTTGTAAAACGAGAAGAAAAATGAAATCTGATGCTTTATAATTACCTTTCTAATACATTTAGTAAATTTTCCGCTGCTTTATACGTTTCTTCATCTTTATCAAATAAACTATTTAACGGTGATCCAGACATCATACTGGAGCCAATATTATTAGCAGTAAAGGTTGTAGTTGTCATTGAATTCATTAATGTATCACTAGTATCCAAATTTGGAGGATTATTCACCAAATAATTGCGTAGAACAGTGATAAGTTCGATAAGACAATGAGCTGCTGATTCATGTGCCTAATTTTTAAAAAGGATAATACGGAGTAGTGAGAATAAATAACTAGATGAACTAGTAAGAGAAATGGAAACTATGTCTTTTTATTGTTTTGTCTAAACTGTAGGGAGTAACCTATTGGGAATCATCATAAAATCAATGTTTATTAGCCCCCAAATGCCCTGGTACGGCCGAGAGTGGGGAGAGTCTACTCTCCCTCTCGAAATGCTCTCATATGGCCAGCGAATATATAGCCTCTGCCAGGGAAGTCCTACTCACTGCCTTCTCGTGGCGGGGGTGTTGTTTACGAAAGTGAGAGGACGAAAAGCGAATGTCCGACGCTATAACCGGATTGGTGGACACGGAGGGTCCACCTAGGGGAGTTGGAAAACCCTGATTCCAAACCAATGGTGCACATGGGCTCCAGTTTCCTGATGGAACGAATGGCGGATGAACCTGTCATTGGTCAACGGCTACCATGGGACTGCATCTCCTCACGATGCTCCACTGCCTTGTGGATCAGACCTTTAGGTCAAAGGCTCCGGGTGTGGCCTCCTAAGAAAACCACCTGCTTCGGTTTGGGCACCCGGGCAGTATCACAGCCCACACACAAATGAATGAAATGACGAACTCTATTGACGATTCTATTCCTGCTCATATTATAAGCAAGACAATTTACGTTATTATTATCATTATTATTATTATTATTATTATTATTATTACTTACCACATCGCTAATTCACCCCCTTTTACCCCCAATTTGTGTAACCTTACTCTTCAACTTATGCAGCAGCTCGCTCTTGGTGGAAAATCTGTCCTATCTAAACGATCTCCAGTCACTGTCTGGTTGAAAGTGAATGCTTCCACCGATAATGAATACTGAGGCAGTCTTTCTGAAACCAAGTACGCCGTTCAAGCTGGCTTCCTTCAACGTTCGCACACTAATGCAGACCAGACAACAGATAGGGCTGGCTATGTCTTTGGAAGGTCTTAATGTTGACGTTTGTTGTCTATCCGAGACCCGTATTCAAGACTTTAGTGAAGTACTACAAATTCGCTCTCCATCTGTCGCTTCGAAAAGCTTGTTTCACGTGCGCTTATCCGGGGACCCTGTGGCATCTTCGTCTGGTCTTGCTGGCGTTGGTGTCGCACTAAGCGCTAGGGCTGAGGCAGCACTAATCGATTGGTTCCCCATTAACAGTCGGTTATGTGCTGTTAGATTAGAAAGTTCCATCAAAGTGAGAAGAAACCGGCGTGAGAAACGGTGTCTTTTCGTCATCTCCGCCTATGCCACAACAGATTGCAGCCCGGATGCAATCAAGGATGAGTTTTACCACCAGTTAACAGTTCTTCTCCAGAAAGCGCGTTCGACAGATATTGTAGTACTAGCCGGAGACTTGAATGCACAGGTCGGGCGTCTAGGCACAGAAGAGAGTCGTTTAGGTGGCCGATGGGGACTTGTTGGTCGCAGGACAGATAACGGGGACCGTTTGCTGCAACTGTGCACAGACCACAACCTGTTTCTGGCCAGCACTAACTTCCGGCACAGTCATCGCCGGTGTGCCACCTGGCGTCCTCCCTCTGCATCCCAAGCCTGGACTCAGATTGATCACATCGCGATCAGCTACCGCTGGCGTGGTTGTGTACAAGACTGCCGCTCCTTTTGGAGTACCTATATGCAGTCTGATCATGCCCTGGTCTGCGCCAATCTCACCTTACTTTTCAGTGGCCGAAGGATTGACCACCACCAACGGATTGATATTAGTAAACTGGCGGCAACTCCTGTCGCAAGTAAGTACCGAGCGGAGCTAGCCTCTAGGCTAGCTAACACCCCACCGAAAAGTATAGATGAGCATTGGTTGCATCTTCACGACGCCATGAAAATGACGAGTAAAGTCGCTTGCAGCTTCGCGAAACGTCCCGCCTACAAGCACTGGGTTTCTTCTGGCTCCTTACAACTGATGGAAGCCCGTCGGTCTACTCCGGGTGACCGTGAGTTTGACCACAAACGAAGGCTGTTACGTAATGAAATTGGGCAAAGCTTGCGTAAGGACCGGGAAGCCTGGTGGTCGGAGCGTGCTAATGAGATGGAAGCAGCAGCTGCATCTGGTAACTGCCGGAAGCTCTTCCAACTCATCCGAGCCACTGGCAGCAAGAAGTCTGGTGTGAGTGAAACAATCTACGAGGATGATGGGATGCCAATCACTAACATCTCCCGACGTCTTGGACGATGGGCGGAATTTTTCGAAGGGCAGTTCAACTGGCCTGCTGCTCCGGCAACATCAACCAGCTTGTCCTGCCCCCCATGGCCGGTGACGACTGTTCCACCAAACGAGGCGGAAGTCCTCAAGGAACTCCAACTCTTGAAACGCTACAAATCACCTGGCCCAGATGACTTACCTCCGGCTCTTTTTAAAGATGGTGGCGACTTTCTGACTAAGGAATTGACTGTGTTGTTTGGAAAGGTTTGGGAGCAAGTAAGTGTTCCAACATCATGGAATGAGTCAATAGTCGTCCCTATCTTTAAAAAGGGTTCGCGTTGTTCCTGCAATAACTATCGGGGGATAAGTCTACTTTCGATCGCGTCCAAACTATTGGCTTCTATCATTCTTCGTAGGTTGTTTAAAACCCGAGAACGATTGACTCGCGAGGAGCAGGCTGGTTTTCGTTCTGGTCGAGGATGCATTGATCACATCTTCACCCTCCGCCAAATGTTAGAACACCGTCATACTTATCGCAGGCCAACTATCGTAGTGTTTCTTGATATCAGGGCGGCCTTCGATTCGTTGGACAGGACTGTTCTCTGGGATTGTCTATTGAAGAAGGGTGTGCCTGAGAAGTTCATTAACATCTTAAAGGCCCTGTACACGAACACCTCAGGCAGAGTGAGGGCATACAACCACCTTTCTCCCTTGTTCCATTCGAGCAGTGGGGTTAGGCAGGGTTGCCCGATCTCACCATTCCTCTTCAACTTTGCCATCGACGACATCTTGGAAACAGCTCTGATGGATGTAAGTAACGGCGGTGTGGATATGTTGCCTGGAGAATGACTTCTCGACCTTGAGTATGCGGATGATATTGTCTTACTGTGCGATAATGCCCAAGGCATGCAATCCGCAATTAATCAGTTGGCAATCAGTGTCCGCAGGTACGGCATGTGCTTTGCACCCTCCAAGTGCAAAGTACTCGTACAAGACTGGCAGGATTCTAATCCTGTACTCACCCTGGATAGTGAGGAGATCGAAGTAGTTGAGAAGTTCGTGTATCTAGGTAGCTATATAAGTGCTGGTGGTGGCGTGAGTGATGAGGTTGATGCACGTATAAGAAAAGCCAGATCGGCTTATGCCAATCTGGGCCATCTTTGGCGCCTTCGTGATGTTAGTCTGGCTGTAAAAAGTCGGATTTACAACGCGTCGGTGAGAGCAGTTTTGCTCTATGCTTGTGAAACCTGGCCTCTCCGAGTTGAGGATGTTAGACGTCTCTCTGTGTTCGATCATCGTTGTCTCCGAAGGATTGCTGACATACAGTGGCAACACCATGTTAGTAATGCAGAGGTTCGGCATCGTGTGTTCGGGCACAGAGACGATAATTCGATTGGTGTCACCATCTTGAAACACCGACTTCGGTGGCTTGGACATGTTTTACGAATTTCGTCCCAGAGACTTCCACGTCGTGCATTATTTGCCGACGCTGGGACTGGTTGGAAAAAGCGGAGAGGAGGTCAGTGTATGACATGGTGTCGTGGCATGAAAGAGAGCTGCAAAGGGCTAGCTTCTGTTGGTCCTTCACGACTCCTTGGTTGGGGTCCGAGAGATGGTGCAACACAGTGGCTAGAGACGTTATCAGATATGGCTCAGAATAGAAACCAGTGGCGATCCTGCTGCAACCTTCTTTTACTTTCTACATAAAGTATGGTTCTTACTTTCCTATTTGAAAGAGTCTTCTGGTTGTACATTTTAGTCCGCCTTATCTTTTCATCCCTTCTCTTCCTACTTTCATTATTTTGTGTGGCGCATATGTACCTGGTGCCCTTTTGTACCAATATATATGTGTTTAAATAAATAAATAATAGAGATAATTAAGATCCTAATCAGTATTCAGTCAGTCAGTCAGCTACAACGTAGGACCAAGCACATATATGCATCGGTTCAAGTTGCCATACCTCGTTAGCACAACAAGATCAACACCGGATTCATAGAATTAATTTAGTGATGGTAGTATATAAAGAAAGGTTGTATATAAGGATATAGTACAGGAAGAAAGATAGATATGAAGCAATTTTAGTCTCAAGGTTTAAGGGAAGATAAATAGTGTATACACCTAGGCCATTGTGATCGATTCTGAGCCATGTCACACAGAGTCTCCAAACATTGGTTACGATAGTCACGCGGACCTCAACCAGGTAATCTGCATCTACCAACATGGCTCAGGCTAGAAGATAGTGACTTCAAACACTGATGCCATGTTTTGGTTTGGCCGCCCCTAACTCTCTTCCAACCATCCCCTACACTAGTCATCATAGCGCGTCGTGGTAATCGGTGTTCAGGCATACGTAACATATGGCCCAACCATCTCAGTCGATGAAGATTCATAACCTCATCAACTGATTTACCATCGTTCCCTAATACCCTGTGTCTAACCTCACTATTACTTACCCGGTTATCCCAGCAGATGCGAGCAATATTTCTAAGGCATCTGTGGTCAAATACTAGTAACCTACGAGTATCTTCTACTCTTAATGGCCATGTTTCACAGCCGTAAAGTAGAACAGAACGAACTTCTGCGCAGTATACTCGTCCCTTAATTGATAGACGGATATCTCGTCTTCGCCATAGGTGACGTAAGTTGGCAAAAGCCAAACGAGCTTTTTGAATCCGTGATGAGATTTCGTCAGACACCAACCCATTAGGGCTGATCAGACTTCCAAGATAAGTGAAGTTGTCGACGCGTTCGACTACTTCACTCCCTATCCTTAGTTCGGGTGTTGACGCAGGTCAGTCCTGGAGTAACAATTTACATTTGG